AGCAAATATTTGTAGTGATTTTTTTCATTTTTAATAAATAAATGCATTGAATATTGTCTAATTTATTCAAATGTTAATGGTTATATTTTTGTGAACCAACCTCTTCTATTTCAAATCTGGTCTAAGTTCATGCCTGATCTCACATAATACAGCACCAACATGCATTCCACAGTATTATACCTAAAGGTCTAATAAAACATGAAGTATAGTTACTATGACACAAGATTCCACAGTATTATACCTAATCAGTATTATACCTAAAGGTCTAATAAAACATGAAGTATAGTTACTATGACACAAGATTCCACAGTATTATACCTAATCAGTATTATACCTAAAGGTCTAATAAAACATGAAGTATAGTTACTATGACACAAGATTCCACAGTATTATACCTAATCAGTATTATACCTAAAGGTCTAATAAAATATGAAGTATAGTTACTATGACACAAGATTCCACAGTATTATACCTAATCAGTATTATACCTAAAGGTCTAATAAAACATGAAGTATAGTTACTATGACACAAGATTCTACAAATTCTACAAGATATCAGTTCACATACTATTTAATCAGCACATATTTACAATTATTTCACATCACAATAACAATTTTCAAATAAACAGACCTAACTATTTATATTTTTAACAAAAATAATACTTTGATTGAAGGAACACAGCTAGCAGTAGTTCTAATATAAAAACTCCATTGTTGGTGAGCTCATAAGTGTGGCTCAAAAACACAATAAATTTCACTTGGTTCTTAATTATACAAGGAGCTTTCTTTACAAATGAAATGTTTTGCCACCAAATGGTAGCATTATCCTAAATCTTGTAGAATATAACTAGGCAACATAGAACTAACAAAAAACATTTTGTAATCAAATCAACAATAACTTTTATTTATTTTCACCACCAGTTAAATTTGTTTATGGATAAACAAACAGTGTTATCAATAATATCAAAAATAGCAAAGCAAATGCGTCAAATAATTAAAAGATACAAGAGAGCTTTGGTAGATGTAATGTTTAGCTCACAGCAGTATTTCAAGTTACAATACTTTTCAGTATGTACACCCATTACTTGTGTTTAAGACAAAAACTTTTACTTTAATTGGCCATAAAGAGTTCATTTCATATTTTGATCCATTTCAGTGCTAATCTGACAAAGCAGATGGATTAAGATACGATACACAGACTGGATCTTAGAACTAGCAATTGTTCAGGATTACCATGAACAGTTAACCAGGACACTCACAACCACCTGGTGGACTATTAAGTATTTAGGTGAATAATTCTTACCATTTGCAGGGGCTTTACTTGGGTAGTTTTGGACATCTGGACAATGCTTGGATAGCTTTTGGGCATTATCCTGAAGAGTCTGTACATTACTCGAATAACTTTGAAATTCTGGGCAGCTACCCTAATAGATTTGAAGAGTTATCTGATTAATTCTTGGACAGTAACATCAATGGGCCTGAAAAAAGAAATTGGATGGATTTGGACTTTCAACTGGATAATCATTAAGATTTGCCTGGAGAAGCAAGAATATTTTCTTTGAAAATGGACTATTACCCGAATGATTTTGAATTATATGGATAACTCTGACTATATACCTAAAAATGATATTATAATTTGCACACAGTTTTAAGATAAAGGAAATCAACAGGTCAAGAAGATTATTTTAATATTTTTCATGATCAACACACAATAATTAAGTAAATATCAAGGATAGAATTCCTTATGAATTTAGAGGAACTTCAGATGAGAGTTTTATACACGGGAGAGACTAATGTTATGATACTTCTTTTCAACAGTTTCAGATTTCATTGAACTTTTCCTTCTTTATAATCTAAAATTAAAATTTTAAAGACATTCATACTTCCATTTCATAAAGCAATGTTTCACACTAATTATATAATTGGAGATACATTATTATGCACACAGCTTATAAAATCATACTTTGTCTGAGCTATGAGATCCAGAAACAGAGGAGATTTTGCAGTCTTAGCTGCTTTTCATATCTGTAGGATCTCACTAACATAAACTCAATTTTAATGCATTTCAGGCACTGCAAAATATCAAACAGCATGTTTAGTTGGTTCATATAAGAGTTATGCATAGCTAAGCAATTTGAAATAAAAAACACTAAAAAAAGTGATTCTGCATTTTGTTTGAGATGTGTCAACAAACTTCCATATTATAACTGGAACTAAGAACATTTCTAATAAATATCTATTTTCATACACATCTAATTAATATTTTGAGAATTCTTTTCTCTACTAAGCTATAAGTATAAATACTGTATTAAATCCAGCAGCCAGTTTACAGAATCTAAACTGATAAAACTATAGCTTTTTGCCTCAAGGAAAACCAACAACAAACATTATATGCCGTAAAAATGTAGTTACATTTTGAACATTCACCAACTACACTAATTAAGATTCAATTCGATTGTTGTTAAAACATAAATCTACACAATGGGCTATTTGTGTTGTGTCCATCAATTTTTGGTATTATAAGCCCAGAAATTTAACACTGAGCCACTGGTAACACACTAATTAAGTACAAGAACAATCTGATGATATATTTAAACATTAGTTTTACAACAGGAAGATCTACATCAGGGCTCTTCAACTATATATACAAGCCAATTTGGAAAAAAGTTAGAGTAAGTGGATTAGAAGTATTCTAGTCTGCACATTGTTAAATATCTGTATGACAGCACACATATACAGAATTTTTCAAAATAAAATTACAATACACTTTAGTACCATTAAGTGCTTGTTATATTAGTTTTTTATGTTGGTATAATGATATACTTAAATTCTGCACATGTTAAGCACAAATTCATTTATGACATTACTGCTTTTTTTAATTTCATTTCTGATTTTTTTTTATAAACTTTTGCTAACTGTTGGTGGGTCACCAGTTGAAGAGCCCTAATCTACATTACCATATAAAGTTCAACATCTTTGAAAACTGAAGCCTTGTGTAAAAATGCCACATTTCACTACTTGCAAAAACTATGATTATTTCACTCTCAGGAGATCCTTGTCTACAACAATAAGTAAAACTGTGTATGGATGAAATCCTTTAAACAGCAATCTAGTTAACTCTCAAAAAATATATCATTATTGAAATGATCCATAGAAAATTTCTAAAAATAAATATCATTAAATAAAAAGTTTTCACTCAAGTCTCACTTTGATCTTAAAACTGATTTAACTTGAAGTACACAAATAAAGAAAATTTAAGAATTATAACTTACATAATGCCCATGGTTAAATAGACAATAATACATGTATTCATGTAAATAAAAAGAGTAGGAAAGCTTCACAAAGCATTAGTTGAATTTTGTAAGTTCACCTTTTAAAAGTTCAACAAACAAAAGCTTAAGATAATTATTTCTTCCTTGCAACTTGGCATTAAAACAGCAAGCCAAACAGCATATCAGTTTAAACACTAACAAACTGACTTTCTTACTCTTACTAAATGAAGCTAAAAGTCCAAAACATCTAGAATATTCTAAATTTGTAAAGCAACCAAGATGATGTAGTTTAGGTGTTATAAAACTGAGTTATTTTCTTTTGAATCTTTCTTTTGTGGAGAAGGGGATTTGTCAATATTTTTTGGAGACCTTGTGGTCGAAGGAATGTCAGTTCTTTTCTGTATAAAAGCCACTTTGGGTAAAATGTACGACTGTTTACGTTCTTCACCTGTATTCATACTAGTTTTGGATACGTCAGTGAATGAAATTACTTTATTTTTTCTGAGAGGAGAATGGTTGGAAGAGCTATTTTGAGACACACGCCACTGGTCATGGAAGTCTGAGAATCTGCGATGAAACATGGACTCGTTTCGGCTGGATGTCAGTTCGTCATCAGAGTTCCACTTCATCAATTTCTGGCTGCTTTGGAGACCCCCTGTGCTCATTTCTGAATCCATGCTGTCACCCAGACCAAAGACCCACTGCTCAGTATCATTGTTATCTGAATCAGAGACCATGGATTTTATACTAGGAGTAGGACTTTGAGTGATGCACACTTCCTGCACCACATTCAATTCATCCACCTGTGGAGCTTCTGAACTCTCTGGATCTTCAGAGCAGCTTACAAACAGATTGCTGAGGCTGCCATGAGCTGGCAAATCTCCTTCTCTTCTAACCAACTCATGAGACAAGAAGGAATCATTACCACCACTTCCACAAGAATCCAAAGACTGCTGTGACACTGAGCGATTTGTTGTAGATAGGTGCATGGGACTGTAATCATTTTCAACTTCTAAAATGGGAGGCAACAACACTGAAGATGACATGCTTCGAAAATATTTCTTGGCAGGACCTTAAAAATACATACATTTACAATTAATATTCAGTGTTGCTAGGTGACTTAATGAATACTTATTAGAACTTCAGATAAAGAAAAATGTATTCAAACTTTGCTAATCCCACACCTTCTAATACACACAGATATTTTAATCTTAAACAATTTTTTAAATTTATCCTATAATAATGAAAAATGTAACTTGTAAAAATTAAAAACTATAATGTATCTCACAAAATAATAAGGTAATGCACCCATACAAATAAAACAGATAATGCACCTATAAATATTAAAAGCTAACATATACCATCAAAATAAAATTGCAATTAATACAGAGAAAATATGAAAGTAATGTACCCAGTGAAACTAAAAAGTTAATATAAAATAAAACAAAGAATTCCTTTGCTATAAAAGAATTCCAACTCCCTGGTTATCAGCTAGTAACCCTTCACATCCAGGCATGGCTATTTTGCATTTGTCACAACCTCTTCAGTGTTACATTCAATACGTAATTAAACAACTTTAGTATCAACATATTAGGCATGAAAATATACTTTATAATTCAAATTGTTATATAACCTAAGTTTTAACTTCTTAATTTCAAAGACAGAACAATTTAAGGCATTCTCAGTTTGCATTTTTCTATCAATTCTATGTCATGTGATCCACCTAAGCTCAAAATTTTTTAACTTCAAAAATAGGCTGCTGTAGTTTCCAACCCATTAGACTAACAAACTGCACATAATTACAATAAATAATAAAAATTTTAACTTCTACTTTCTTTATTTGCTAAAATATCAATAAATTCGTCAAACCCACCAGAGAAGCCTCTCCCCTTTCTCTCTTTGACTTTCAAGATTCTTTTGCTAATCAACTTTACATAGCTGGTGGACATGTTTATAACCAATATGAAAATCAAACTTCCTTCTATAAGTCTTATTACAGCTATTTGATTTTGGTGCAGATAAGTACATACTTAACCATAGTGTCTTTGTTTGTGAATATTGTTACACTACTCTGAAAGGTTAATGGAAATGTTTAAACCTATCTATAGCGTACTTAGAAAACCAGGTAAATCAAGCATAGTTTGGAGACATTCTATTCTAGTGACTGGTATATTTTTTTGTGTTTTAAAATGCATACTTGATAGCTAAATAAAATCTTTATGGATACCCAAATTTGAAAAACCTAATAAAGCTTAGTCAAGAACAGCTTTAATTTTTTACTTAACTGCAAACAAGTTCAAGTACTCAGTGAGCAGTACAAGTTCGAGTTTTTTTTATGTATATTTCTTATTTATTGTTATATATTTTTAACAAAAGTTACTAAAATGTAAGAATTAGCAACTTCTGAATTTAGCCTAACAAAAATTCAGCAAAATAAAAAGTCTAAAATTTCACAAGCTTGGATCTAAACATACTGCATATCTTATTTCACGTGCTGTTTTACCACCTAATGGATTCATGCTGTAATTTATTGCTTTTGACAGGAAGATTCCTGCTGTAATTTACTACTTTTGACAGGAAGATTCCTGCTGTAATTTACTGCTTTTGACAGGAAGATTCCTGCTGTAATTTGTTGCTTTTGACAGGAAGATTCATGCTGTAATTTATTGCTTTTGACAGGAAGATTTCTGCTGTAATTTGTTGCTTTTGACAGGAAGATTTCTGCTGTAATTTATTGCTTTTGACAGGAAGATTCCTGACTCCATTGGGTACAAAGTACAGCAATAAAATCATAAAATGAAAAGAAATTATGTCAAAAAGTTAACAGATGAAACTGTTAAGGTAAGCAGTTTGAAATGTTCTGATCAATACTGCTGTAAGTGTAGAAAAAAAGTGTTATTAATCATTTTAATTCTTATTTTTAAACTTTTCATTTCACTGTACATTGATAATTTCAGTTTGTGTGAGAATAGAGAAAATAATAAATAAATAAGAGATAACATATACAGTTTTACTACAAAAAAACTTGATATTCATTTAGATGGTTTCAGAAGTTATACAAATGAAATAAAAAAACAAAATTAAAATAAATATTTGTATTCCTAGCACAAAAATCATCTTTCATTTAGACTGATTCACTAAAGTCTTTGAATATTCACAGACAAATCTTTGGTAAAAACACTTTATTAGAAAATCAGATTTTTTTTTTGTCCAACAGACGTTTAATGTTTACTAAAAGCCTGCTAAATTTTGTGAAGAAAATTGTGTAGGCTCAGTGTTACAGTAAAGATCAGTAGGTATAGCTTCACAGATCCAGTCAATGTAACTGATCTTGTGAACAGATGATATGAATGCAATTTCTCCCATAAAACTGTACTTATAAGGTAAATATGGCTTCTCATGAACCATATAAAATTTTCTTCTAATGTTTTTTGAGGAAAGAAAATCCCAAATTAAGTTCTGCCATTCAATTACTTTCATTATGAAAATGACTACATAAATTCAACAACTAATATCAAATTACTTCATTAAAATTATTCAGTTTTACAAACAGACTTTCACACCAGACAAAACAGGAATCATATGCATTAATGACCTATTTACAAAGAATCTATAATGAGGTCATCAAATTGTTAATATATTTTGAAAATACTGTTTCTACCAGAAATACTTTAACATTCACAAAAAAAGAACATAAATTTGAAAAATGTCTAAATGCAAACAAAAAATTATTCTTTGAAATACTATACTCGTTGGAAAAGATGAAAAATGACAAGAATGCTTAAGTGAGAAAGTTGCATTGCTTTGATATTAAAAACAAATAAAAAGAATA